TGTGTGTGTGTGTGTCGTAGTGCTCTTCCCACGCCACTTCCAGAATCCAGATGTCACTTTCACAACAATCTCCCACATTCAGCTCTTTCGCGACTACCTCCACTACCACAGTGAGTTTACTTGCTCAAGTATGGTGCCGCAGATTTAGGGCACTGACAGCAACTTTGGTAAACTCATCGACATGCCACGTTGCCAGTTAAATGCAGCAAAGCTTACATGCACAGCCGTATGAGGCATCGCGTCGCAGAATTCCTCAAGATCCTGAACCGCGCAAAGCCCGAGCAGGCGGAGAAGGAGAGAAAGACGGCGAGGTGAGTGCGCGGCCGCTAGATCGTGATTGGCTCCAAGTTTGAGCCCCATCCTAACCTCTCCCGCTTTGCTGCAGTGGGCGATCATTCCGGCGAGCTTGAGCAGCTCGAATTGAGCGAAATCTTGCAGTCTTGAAGCTGGCCTTTCAGTCATCTAGCGGGCATGTAGATTTGTTGATGTGCGTCATCAGACTTGCGAACAATGCGTACGGATACGTCCAGTATGCTCTCGGGCGGCTTCCACGCTCTCGAGTGCCATGGCTCCACGACACCCAGTCGAGCTCCATCAGTCGAACAACCGATCGCAGGTACAATGCTCGCTTCAGTGATTGATTCAATAGAGTATATATTGAGCTCATGCTGCTGGTCATAATCCGGCATCAGAACGGTGGTAGACCCCAAGCTTCTGGCTCGAAGTCTTCCAAACTTTCCAAGATCTGGTCCGCATTTAGATCCTCGTTCTCCTTTGACAGTAACGCTCGGAGCTGTGAGAAGAGAAGACATGTCTGAGCGACCGTCCTATCGGGGCCACAGTGGCCATCCATTCCAGGTTTTCGCAAAGCTCTCAGAATTTACTCACATTAGGATCGGGAACCCAAACCACTTTCATGCCCGCTGCCTTTCCTGCTTGCACACCAGGCTGAGACGGGACGTGCAAGAGGCATTAGTCCAGTTTGGCCTTGTTGGGTGGACTGCACGAAGTGAAACTCACTTTCGCGTCTTCGAAAACGAGAATATCGCCCTCTCCTCCCGCGAGACCCGCTGCGTCGTTCTCTGCGCCCCACAAGCGTACTTCCTTGGCAATCGAGGGCTCCTGCAGTCCCTCGCGCGCGGCCAAGAGA